CCGTGGATATTAGCCCTGCCACTGGCTGCCGCAAGGCGGAGGGGGGGCAGGGTATGGCATCAAGGGGCACCAGATACCGGCGAGGAGAAGCGAGTGTTCTCCGCCGCGCGGCGGCTCTCTCTGCCCAGCCGCGGTGACGAGCAGAGGGCGACCTCCTCAGATCCCGTGGAGGGAGGTCACCGACGGACAGCGCGTGGACCCGTCGCTGTCGAGGCGCTTGTGCCCCGCCAGCGTCCTGTGACGCGGGGTCAGCGCCTCCCTCTGCGCCTCGGCGGCCTCCACCGCGCGCTGCATCTCCTCGGCCCGGAGCCGGTAGTCCTGCACCAGCGGCGAGCCGGAGTCCGACTTCTCGCGCCTGGCCAGCATCGACCGGAAGCCCGCCAGCTGCTGGTTCAGCAGCCGCACCTCGGCCTCGGCCACCTCAAGCTCCGACGCGGGCACGACGTACTCTGGGTTCCTGGGGTCGTACTGCTCCTTCTGCCGCCTCGAGGCCACGTCCACCTGGGTCGCCATCCCGCGGCCCGCGCACCTGTCCACCACCCGGCTGTGGGCGGTGGGATACTCGTCGGGGATGACCAGGTCCGCCTCGCTCGAGCAGGTCTCGCGCCGCGCCACTGAGGCCATCGCGGGCGGGCACTTGTTCACAGCCGCAGCTTGACCGACCTCCGATTAGCAAGCACTCCAAGCTGGCACTCCCCGAGGCCAGGACTTGCGGAGAGCCTGTCGGGACACGAGTCTGACGGCTTGAGCCACAATGGCTACGGAGGGGGGCCTGACTCGTCTTGGGGCCCTCTTGGGGCCCTCTTCGGCCCCTCTTGGATCGTCTTGGGGCTAACTGTGGCCGTCCTGGGGCCCTCTTGGGAGCCTCCTCCTCCTCCTCCTCCTCCTCCTCCTCCTCCTCCTCCTCCTCTAGGGGGCGAAGCATCGACCTGGGCCACCTCAGACCCCCAGCCGACTCCAACCGATCACCACCACCACCACGCCTCCGCAGCCCGTTTGGTGGGCATCGACTCCCAGCGAGGTCAGAGAGCCACAGCCACCAGGGTCAAGGCCCCAACATCTGCTCGCAGAGGCTTTGTGGTTGTTAGCTTCCTGCTCGTACTTCTTCGTAGGAGCGCTAAGGGCATTTTTTTGGGTTTGATGCATGGTTTCTGTGTTCGAAAACGCGTTGAACACGGGCAGGTGGGCCACGGCCGATCCTGGATCTCGAAGGCGTGACAGGAACGGCGGCCCAAGCAGCAAACGTCATCGATATTGAACGCGGAGCCAAACAGCCCCTAGTACTTTAAGATAATATTAGTTTCTGGGCCCCGAGAGAATGAGTCAAGAGGGGGGCGAAGGCAAATCCGTTCAGAATGGGGCTCCGCACCTCTCCCGAAGTCGAAACTGACCAGTGTTTCGAGCCGCGTCCAGCCGTGGAAGAAGGGCCCCTGTTTCCCCCTTTCTGCTGACCGGAACCAGTGCTGGGCCACCTCAGCCCCCCAGCGGGCTCCAAGTCTGCGGTCAGCAACTTTTGCTTGGCAACACGTACCTGCTTTCTGGCAGCTGCCTATGGCTGCCATGCTGCTCGCCCCGCGAGGCGCCCCCGCCCGCAGGCGGCTCCTTCGGAGCGCCCGCAGGGGGGTCCCAGCCACCCGCATGGGGCCCAAGAAGGCATCACACGGGCTTCGCCTCCGCGGCGGGTGTTGCCAAACCTACCTCCAACTTCGCCTCCCCCACAGCTGCCGCCAGAGCCTAGGCCGGCTTCGCCTCCTCGGCTGCTGGTGCGGGAGCCTCCGCGGGCTTCGCCTCCTTCGCTGCTGGCGCGGCAGCCTCAGCGGGCTTCGCCTCCTCGGCGGCTGGCGCGGCAGCCTCCGTGGGCTTTGCCTCCTCGGCAGCTGGCGCGGGGGCCTCTGCGGGCTTTGCCTCCTCGGCAGCTGGCGCGGGGGCCTCCGCGGGCTTCGCCTCCTCGGCAGCTGGCGCGGGGGCCTCCGCGGGCTTCGCCGTGCCTCCTCGGACAGCTGGCCGGAAGCGGGGGGGGCCTCCTGCGGCTTGTTGCCTCCTGCTGCACGCTGGCACGGGGAGGGCCTCCCGCGGCTTTCGCCTCCTCGCCTCCTCGGCAGCTGGCGCGGGGGCCTCCGCGGGCTTCGCCTCTTCTGCAGCTGGCGCGGGGGCCTCCGCGGGCTTGGCCGCCTCTGCAGCTGGCGCGGGGGCCTCCGCGGGCTTTGCCTCCTCCGTGGTCGCCGCGGGTGCGGCCTCCTCGGCAGCTGGCGCGGGGGCCTCCGCGGGCTTCGCCTCCTCGGCAGCCGGCGCGGGGGCCTCCGCGGGCTTTGCCTCCTCGGCAGCTGGCGCGGGGGCCTCCGCGGGCTTCGCCTCCTCGGCAGCTGGCGCGGGGGCCTCCGCGGGCTTCGGGCTTCGCCCTCCTCCTCCCTCGGCAGCTGGCGCGGGGGCCTCCGCGGGGCTTTGGCCTCCCTCGGCCAAGCTGGCGCGGGGGCCCTTCCGCGGGGCTTCGCCTTCCTCGGCACTGGCGCAGGGGGGAGCCTCCGCGTCTTTGCCTCTTCTCAGCTGGCGCGGGGGCCTTCCGCGGGCTTCGTCGCCCTGCCTCGGCATATGGCGCGGGGCCATCCGCCTGGCCTTTTGGCCTCCTCTGCAGCTGGCGGCGGGGGCCTCGCGGGGGCTCTTCGCCTTTCGCGCCTCGTCTGCAGCTGGCCGGGCAGCCCATCAGCGGGCTTCGCCTTCCTCGTCATCTGGCGCGGGGGGCCTCCGCTGGGCTTCGGCTTCCTTGCCTCCTGCCGCTGGGGCGGGGGCCTTCAGTAGGGGCTTCGCCTTCCTCGGCAAAGCTGGCGCGGGGGGCCCCGTCCGCGGAGTTGCGCCTCCTCGGCTGCCGGCGCGGGTGCCTCCGCGGGCTTGGCCTCCTCGGCAGCTGGCGCGGGGGCCTCCGCGGGCTTTGCCTCCTCGGCAGCTGGCGCGGGGGCCTCCTCGGGCTTGGCCTCCTCTGCAGCTGGCGCGGGGGCCTCCGCGGGCTTTGCCTCCTCTGCAGCTGGCGCGGGGGTCTCCGCGGGCTTCGCCTCCTCTGCGGCTGGCGCGGCAGCCTCAGCGGGCTTCGCCTCCTCGGCAGCTGGCGCGGGGG